TATGCCATAAGAGCTGTGGGAATGTGACATGTTCTCAACATGCACATTTCTGCTGACCAGAAGACCAGAATCATCAACATGGCACCCAGATGTCAGCCTTCAGGCACAAACACACACACACAGAGTTGGGAAAGTCACATCTCTACAAACAACACATCCCCCCAAAACATCATCCGTGTGGGCAATTTGCGGCTGCTCGTGTCTTTATTATAAGAATATTTTGAGGTAATAATTATACTTTTACACTCAATCGTTCATAAATTTGAGACACTTAATGTTTCGTTGTGTGTGGCAAGAGCTGGCAGGCTTCGGGAATTCCTCTCCTGATTTTGACATTCTCACACAAAACCCGCAGCGCACAAGCCGCCTTTGCTTTCGTTGCTCCTCCATCTCCACCCCGTCGTCGTGTCTCTCCTACTTTCTCTGTAACCGAGCGCACACGCATCCTGTACATGCACTGTTTCTGTTATGCTATCCAACGGCCCGGAGGCTCAACTGAGGACAGACTTGACTGCTGCTGGCCTCATATCAAGAAATACCTGATGGGTCCCTGCACTCATGCCAAGACTCATTTATGAGGCGTGAGACCGTCAACAGCTACCTTCAGGAATAAAACACATGAGTCACAATCGGGCTATTATTTTCTATAAGAACAAAGGAGTTGTACAAGTCTCTGAAGTCAAATTTAGGAATTTGCTTCTTTCTTTCTTTCCTTCGCGCCCCACGTGAAATATCTGTCAGGTTCTGATCGAGATTCATTTCTTACCATCCATCTGTCTTGTCTTGCCCCGGCAACGTTTGGCCAAATAACTGCAAGCTAAGAAAGATTCCTCGCTGACAACATGATAGGCATCTCTTGAATTTCAACCATGAAAAACATCAACGTAGAATGCATTTCCTCTAACAAATAATAAAAAAAAACACAATACAGTGGAAGCTGCTTTATGTCATGTTATCTGGCGTTCGTTCCAGGGACAGAGTGTCGGAAAATGTGGCTGCTGATCAAAGGTTCCTGCAGCGTAAGTTCAAAATGTGTCCTCCAACTTGAGACTGGTCAGTATCAGAAAAGTTTGACTTAAAGTTGAAAAATTACGCTCAAAAACTCAACACGATCCAGTCCGTCCCTTTATTCTCCGCTGCAGAGGGCCTCAAACATGATCCCACCTTCAACATTCTACTGTATAAATAAATGATCGCCACTGTCTGATTCCTAACACGTGTCGAATGTGGGAGAAACTGGCAGGTGTGAAGACCTGAGCGACTCCGACAACAGCCGAAGTGGTTCTGGTCAAACGACTGAGTCAGAGCGTCTTGAAAAACAGCGAGGCTTTGGGGAGCTTCCAGTCAGCAGTGGCAGCGGCGGCGAGAACCCACTGACAGTGACAAACCGTGTACAGGCGACAGGGCTTTTGAGAGATGTGCTGCAACAAGTCTGATCCGCGGTGGCTCCAGCTCCAAAACTTCAGGGACTTCAAGGAAACTGCTGCTATTTTTTGCGCGGGGCAGCGGCGGAAAAATAACTAAGCGCATTTACTCAAGTATCGCGCTTAAGTACGACACCGAGGGACCGTTTTCTGACACTTGCAGTTACTTTAAAGATGAAGATGTTGCACAACGGATAATATAACAAGGTTTTAGAACTCAAAGACTAGGTTTACAACCTTTTTTTGTCTTCTTACAAAAAGCAGCGTGTGTGCGGTCAGGGTCACGTTTCAGCAAATAGTGATTTTACTTTCTAAACTTCTCACGCGGTTTCTTTTCAGGAAAGTTTCTAAAGATCCGATGTCCGCGCAAAAAATCTGAGATTAGAGACAACATGAAAATAGAGTTGTGCATCGGAGCTTTGCTTTCTCAGCTTTCCTCTCCCATTAACCATCTGCTGTCCCTGCGTGTATAAAACTATGATGTAAAGGTGTTTAAAGCAGCTCCACCTGCAGCAGCTACAACATGCTGCTGACACACTTCACTGTTAATAATCGGATCATGTCATGCATAAAAAATATCAGTAGGAACAACTAAACCAACTACACTTTGCTGCTGATACTTTGAAGTAGGACTTTTCACTTGTCATACAGTATATTTACATTGCTGTATTGGTGCTTTTACTTTAGTAAAGGAGTCGGAATACTTCTTCCATCATTGTAAAAGAGTCCATTTCTTAGTGGGTAAAAAAATGTATGAGAGGACAACAGTATATTTTGGGTCATTGGTGTGGATTTGAAAGACGAATATTAATTCTTAATCAATGATTCTTGAGGCTTTTGCACTTTAAATTCCTCAATATACAAAAATAAACAAGTAAAAGCAATATATAGTAGAATAAAGTTGCTTTTTTTTTGGTATGTTCTTATATGAATAACTTGTCTATTTCGGCTTATGTGTTGGTTTCACATACTAGAAATATTGATCGTGGCAAAGCTACAATAGGCTTGATAGGAAAAAAAAAAACTAAAGAGGGATTTTAATGTTCAAATTGACATGCTGCTATCAAAACTGAGACTGGGCTTTCCATTCGGCAGTAAATCACGTCTTGGTTTATTTACGAGAAAAGGGATTGTTAAAGCAGTTTTCCTCTCTGGCTATGGTGAAGTTATTTATGAACGGCCGGCCAGTTGCACTCTCAAACCTTTAAAAGCAGTATATTACCCCTCCTTAAGATTCATCACAGGGGATGGTTATGGCCCGCCTAATAGATCAAAACAACTGGCTCGCCCGCCGTGTCAGAGAGGACGCATCAGCGTTTGTTTTTTAATTTATTAATAAAGCTGTTTTGCTAAAGCTCACCCTCTGTTTTCTTGTAACCCTACGTGTTCATAAAAATGCTTTGACCCTGCAAAAAAAAATGTTACCGCACCCCACATACTTTGAATATTCTTCAGCAAAACTTTATGGTTTAACAGCTGCTTTTATGGGTGTAACTGTCATTGCTTTTAATTTATTATCTTTTCCTCAACTTGTTCTTACTTTTCTTCCCAATTTTTCTCATTAATTTAATTGTTATTTCTTTTTATCTGCTGTTGCCACGTATTCTTCTTTTATTGCAATTTGTTTTTTTAAGTGTGTGTATTTATTAGCACTATTTAAATCGAGGGTTGTCCTTCAGTTTGAGGTTTTGAATAAAATGAAATGACCACGCTGCACAGGTCAGCTGCTGTTGACAAGCAGCACGCCTTAAAGCCAACGTCAGATTAGAGGTCATGTAAAATTATTAGCCGCAGTTTGTGATTGTGAATATGTGGGGTGCAGAAATTCCCTCCCAGTTTCCAGCGCATGAAATAAATGAAATGTTCAGAGATTGATTATATTTTGTCTGTCTTGTGTTTTAGCTGCACACTAAAATCATCAGAGGTACCTGCGGTTTGCTTTTTTTTTTGTTCAGGATGTAAAAGAAAAAGAAAATAATCAGAATGAAAAGTTGGTTCAATCATAGAGCAATTGCAACATTTATTGAAGTGTTGGCTTTCTTGTATTGATTTTTCAACACATTACAAAAATACATATATGTTCAAAACAGCAGATGTGTACTGTTCTGAAATCACTTTTTTTTTTTTCACAATGATGCACTTCCCCCCGCCCCAAAAAAAGAACAAGGAAACTATTTTTGTACAAAGAGTGTAAGTGAAAGTTGTGAAAAGTGAAATATGAAAATGTTTTTAAAATTACATTTGTAAGTGCCATCACAAGACCTTTTTAACCAACCATGAGGAAAAAAAAA